AATTCACTGGTCTTAACATGTTCCCCAACATCCTGAAGCAGCTGGCTTGATAGAATGATGGAATGGCCTCCTGAAAACACAATTATGGTGCCAGCTAGGTGGCAATACCTGGAAGGGTTGGGGCAATGTTCTCCAGGAGGCTGTATATACTCTTAACCAGCATCCAATATATGGTTCTGTTTCTCCAATAGCCAGGATTCAATGGGTCCCGGAACCAAGGGTTGGAAACAGGAGTGGTACCACTCACTATTACCCCTAGTGACCCACTCAAAAAATTTTTGCTTCCCTATGCTCTGCAGGTCTGGAGATCTTAGTCCCAAAGGGAGGAACACTCCCATCTGGAGACACAATACTGATTGCATTGAACTGGAAATTAAGAAAGCTACTCGGCCATTTTGGCTTCCTCATGCCTCAGGATCAACAGACAAAGAAGGGTATTACTGTATTATCTAGTGTGACAGATCCTGATTACCAAGGGGAAATTGGATTGGCTTTACATAATGGAGGTAAAGAAAAATATGTCTGGAATACAGGAGATTCTTTGGGACATCTCTTAGTACTCCCATGCCCTGTGATTAAAGTCAAAGGAAAATTACAGCAACCCAATTCTGATATGACTGCTAATGGTCCAGACCCCTCGGGAATGAAGGTTGGGTCACCCCACTACAACCAGCTGAGGTGTTTGCTGAGGGCAAGGGGAATACAGAATGGGTGGTGGAAGAAGGTAGTTCTGAACATCCGCTATGACCACATGACCGGCTGCAGAAACGAGGACTGTGATTGTTATATTTCTTCATTGTATATGTGCATCAAATATTTTTGTTTCCTTCTGTTATGAACTGTGAATAAGGTTAATGCATTTTGGTCGTATATGTGTTAGCGTATCATGTTAGGTGCAAATATGACGTTATAATTATCCTTATTTAGAGATTATATATGGTTAAGAAGATGCGTACAACTGCCAAGTTGAAAAGGGGTGGACTCTGATAGTTGGAGCTGTGTGTCAACTTGGCTGGACCACAATTCTGTGTGGTTTTAAGCTATTGTGATGTGGTTATTCCCATGATGGGATCAGATGATTATGTTTTGAGCAGCCAATCTGTTGAAAGGGAGTTTCCAAAGGGAGGAACACTTCCACCTGGAGACACAATACTGATCGCATTGAACTAGAAATTAAGAAAGCCTGCTTCCAGTATATCTATGGACATCCTGGGAAAAGAGACATTCCTCTGTGGTTTGGGATCTGTTGTGCTGCCTGTGAGTGAACTGTCTGTGAGTGAACAATCCACCATTCAGCCTAGAGATCTTGGATTCGTCATTTGTTGGAGTCAACAGCCAGTACACTGCCTGCCAACCTTGAGTTCCTCAGCCCCTGCAGCTGCAAGAGTCAGGAAAAGCCTCCAGCTTGACGTATGACCCAAGAACTTTGGACTTAGCAGCTTCTGTAAGTGTGTGAGCCATTTTCCCAAAATAATTCTCTCTCTCTCTCTCTCTCTCTTTCTCTCTAAGCTTTACTGGTTTTGTTTCTCTAAAGAACCCAGTCTAACACAAAACCATTGACCTTTAGATTAGCAGCCAAGTACCTCACCATTGTGCCACCAAGGCTCCTTATGTGCATAACTGAAGTGCTTGAATATAAGTAAAATATATAGAATGTTTACATGCATAAACAAGCTATACACAGATTCACAATAAATCCCATTTACACCATTAATGTTACCATCCCTGCTCCTTTTCTCCTCTTCAATCACACTTTCTGTAAATATATATGTATATAAGAGTTTATGCTTTTGCCTGTAATCAAAGATGAGTATATGTTTCTGTGTGTTTATTAACACTCACCAAAAACAAAAAAACAAACTCACTGCCGTCAAGTTGGATCCAACTCATAGCGACCCCTCCTTGGGTTTCCGAGGCAGTATCACTATTGAAGTAGATGGCCCAATCTTCCTTCTGAGGAGAGGCTGGTGGGTTTGAACCACAAGCCTTCTGGTTAGCAGTTAAGTGCCTTAGGCAGTATGCCACCAGAGCTCCCCTTATTAACACTATTACAAGTATTATTTTTTTAACCTTCTGAGCTTTAAAGAAGATAAAGATCAAACCTCTTTCTATATTTGTAAACTGCTGAAGTTGTTTGCATTCCTAATATGAGACTTCCAAGGTCATGAGCCACAATCATTTCAGATGGTAAAAATAATGCAAAATGTTACCTGAATATTCAAGAAGAGCCAGGAGTATCCTACACTTCACCTCTGCAAAGAAAGAGAAGACATCAGTTAGTTATTCAATCCTTTTCTGCCACAAACATCACATTTGAACTTTGTACTAAAAATTAGTACTATATTATTATTATATAAATGAAAATTTTATTCACTTGACATACTATTTTCCTATCTACATATATATATATATATATATATATATATATATATATATGTATGTATATATATTATACATTGTTTATGATCCTAAAATAGCTTACAGCTCAGAATTATATGCATCTATGAAACACCATTCAGATCTTGTCACCTCTGTAAGTTATCCTTAAATGCTTCAAGCTGCATGGTGTTGTCTAATCTCCTACAGCTATTATGGTCTTTATCAATAAAATGTCAAATAATGCTTTTGCTACTGTTATGTACCCTTTTTTTAAAAAACGTACAGACCTTCTTTTCTGATGTAGAAGTCAAGGTACTGCCCTTGAGAACAGAGAAATGACCAAATATTTCCAAATGTTCCTCTTCCCTCTCCTTTCCTACACAGAGCCAATGGCAATGGATGTTTGGTAAATGTATATTAACATCCTACTCAGTGTTATATGTCCAATGAGTATTGTGTCCATTTGCTTCCAATTGGTGAATACTTTAATTCCAATAGGTAAATATAAAAACTTACGGAGTTTCTTGCATATGCCTATTCATATGGGAAATGAAAAGAAGATCAGGTTGCATCCTATTCTAGAAAGGCTCATAATAGAGGAAGAGAGATAAAGTAACCCATGAGTAATGCAGGCAATACTTGAAAGCACATTACATTTGATAAGCAGGGCTGCAAGAGCTAAAGGATTTCAGAGGCAGGAAAGTATGCTGAACTAAGAGTCAAAAGACTCAACTATTGGTCACTAGCTTTGTGGCCTTAGCAAATCACTGGATTACTAAAAATTGCTATCCATTTAAAAGTTGCCTATAAAAATATCTACCTTACATATTCATGAGCCTGGGTAGGAAAAATAAGTAGGAATGTATATGAAAATTCTTTGAAGTGCTACAAACATGTGAAGCACTGTTATTGTAATCTGGATTTAATTTTATTGGTATAGAATTCTAAATGAGCCTAGAGGAAAATTAAAAAAAAAAAAATTGTGAAGAGGAGTAGAGGTATAATCCAAAATAGCAAAGTAATAAAATAGAGGATTAGAACCAGCTATCTATCAATCTAGGGCAGAGAGTTTCAATATTATTATGAGATTGAGATTGCAATACAACCAGAAAGTCCTATCGAGAAATGGCTTCTAACATCAGATTGAAGAATCTAGACATATATAACAGTGAAACAACATAAGATTCTGGGTCAGGGTATTGAAATTATGAACATGGAATTTTAGGACGATAAATCTGATAATGGCATATATGAATCACAAAAGATGAGATGGGGGATTAGTTAGAAAAACATTGCAGTTACTGAGGTATGAAGAAAAAAGGAAAACATTCGAGAGACTTTTGATTAAAAGGAGCTTTTGGGTTATTGTGACATAGGCAAACAAACAACAAACAAACAAACAAGGATCTGAAAAATGACAAAGTTATTGGAAATAATGGGAGCTTTTGAAAGGAGTACAATTTTTGTAGGGAGCAAAGAGTTGAAAATGAGTTCACTATTAGACATTGGCACTTAAGGTGATGGTGCGATAATCCAACAAAAATATCCTTTGGTTGGCTGATAATACATTTGAGCTGAGAGATTTAACAGAAAATAACCAGCACTAAGGCATTTGACTGCTAACCAGAAGGCTGGCAGTTCAAACCCACCAGTCATTCCTCAGAAGGAAGGTTGGGCAATCTATTTGAGTAGTGATACCTCCTTGGAAACCCAAGAACGGGTTGATATGAGTTGGATCCGACTCAACAGCAGTGAGTTTGGATTGGTTTTGAATAGATCATAAACCATACAACAAATCTCTCCCCATTTAATCCATTATCTGCTCTATTTTACCTTCAGTTTAGCAGTCTATGAATGGATGAGTACATAATAATATAATTTATAAATGGCAGTGTAACAGTAAGGATTCTAAATAAAGATCATAGAACTATATTTTGAAATCAGAGACTGTAGAATAGCAGAAATAATATGTATTCAGCTATGTGCTCTAAGAAAAAAGCATTATGTTGCTTCAGTCTTGAGTCCATGCGCAAAAAACCTGTAGCTAAGACAATGGTTGGTATTTGTGCTTGTTGGTTCAACTGCAGGGTTTTCTGTTTGGAAATTTATTTCTGCTACAGAACCAAAAATCACAGAACAGAACTTTAGTAGCTTACTTGTTTTTCCCTTAGAATAAGTGTAATGTTTCAGAAATAATTGAATACTATGACATGGTTTCTTACTTGATGTAATTTAATTTTATATTAATATAACAATATACTAAGCATGAAATTCTGACAAGTTGGCATTATAATAAATTCCCAGCCAAGACCTAATCTATCATTAAATAAGTCCACATATAAAGGCAATTTAGGAAGTAGGATAAAAATTACTTTCAGTTGAAATAGGATGTTTTCCTGTTGAACTGATGAGGTTACTTGAGTATCTCTACACAATAAGCAACTGATTTTGAAGGATTCTAAAAAGGCTGCTTCCATCCAATATAAAAGGATCTGACACCACACCAAAAAAAAAAAAAAAAACCCACAAAAACTCACTGCCATTGAGTCGATTCCGACTTATATCAACTCCTCCTTGAGTTTTCGAGGTGGTGTCTCTATGGAAGTAGAATGCTCAGTCTTCCTTCCGAGGAGTGGCTGGTGGGTTTGAACTGCCAGCTTTCTGGTTAGCAGTCAAATGATAACACACAGACTACTAGAAAATGGCATCTTGCCCTTTCTCTCAGAGGTGAATGAACAATTGTAAATTAATCATTTTAAAAGACTCACTTAACATTTTGACAATCACAGTTCTTATCCAAAGAGACAGCGCATCTCACTGAATCTTGCAACCTTACAACTTAAATTCCCCAGAACTGGTGGCACCATTGACCACAGCACCAACCAACGAACTGTTGGGTTCCGTGATCAAAAGTAGCATCAAGAGTCACAACATCAAGCAATCAGTCAATTAGCATGTGTGTATTGCTGTCTGTCATTTCTATCAGTTGTTTATATATATATATGAGATATACAAGCCATAAAAGCAAAAACTGTTTGAAAACTAAGATTCTTAAAATGAATACTCTATAAAAAATTAAGCTTTTTATCCTTCATTGGAAGTTTATATCTTATTAATGATTAAACTCTTCAAAAAAACAAACGAAAAGGGTATTAAAGATATCTCTGTTCCTTATCTATTTTGCATTTACTTTACAGAAAATAAGAATAGCTGTAAAGTATAACTTTGGGGAGTGTCTGGCATCTACTCAGTACAATATTCAGTAAAAATATGCCTTTTATTCAGTAAAGCAAATCCCTAAATGCCCTACACTTAACTCCCTTTTAAAAATATATTTAATATTTTGTTCTTATTTGTTTTGGGGAAGAAATTCTGGTGGTGTAGTGGTTAAGGCATTTGGCTACTAACCAAAAAGTCAGTGGTTCAAACCCAACATCTGTTCCACATAAGAAAGATAAGGCAGTCTGCTTCTGTAAAGATTGGAAACCCACTAGGGTTGCTATGTGTCAGAATCAAATCAATGGCAGTGAGTTTGGTTTGTTTTTTTGGGGGGCGTTTTAAATTCAGAATTTTCACTAAATGGGATGCTGCAATGTGTCACAGGTAGCCATTATATTCTGATATAAAATGAAAGTGTAGCCAAGAAATTCAGCTCTTGAGAACAAAATATTTCATCCCACAATAGAGTTGCTGTGATTTATTTGGAGAAGTTTTCCATATTTGTACATGCTCCCTCTCTACTGATCTATAAATAATACCCAAATTGCTATGTTTAAGTGTATTACTAAGCAGATAATTTATTAATCATACAACTCTTAAACCATCTCCCTCATTTAATAAATAGGGAAACTGAAGTCCAAGGAGTGAAGTGACAGGCTTAGACCCCATGAAGTACAAGGAACTATTCCTTGTCAGTAAAGTGTAAAGCTCAAGAGATGATCTTAAGAAAGTCAATTAAAAGACTCTAATCAAAAGTTCAACCACACATACACACACACACACACATACACACAAAACTGCTAAATTCTCTAATTAACCCTAAAAAAAAATAAAATAGTACTGGGTAGAGTTATGCTAATTCTGCTGAGTCTTATGTACCATTTTCAATTTACTAAATAAATGAGGAATAAAAATGTAAAATATAGGCGTATTTACTTTATGAGTTTCTCAACATTAGCACTATTGACATTTGGGGCCAATTCTTTGTTGTGAGGGGTTGATTTGCATATTGTAAATGTTCTCTTCTCTCTAGATCCAGTAGCATCTTTTCCCCCAAAGGAAAACAAAACAAAGGAAAAATCTCCAGAGATTGCCAACAACTGGTAGATAGCACTGGTCTAATCATTGGCAAGAAATAAAGTGATGTAGTTATATTTTAAATTAGATAAATTTTTATTTCATCTTTTTTTTTTTTTTTCCATGATCATTTTAGAAACTCTCTGAAGTCTCTACTTATAACTCTAACCCAAAACAGCATAGGATCAGATACAACTGAGTTGTCCAGAAGCATTACATTCTAATTCCAATGTGTACCTATCATGGGCTGTTGAGTAAAGAATGTTATGATAGTTAGTAACAACCAACTCAACCAAAACTTCTGAAAAAGAAACTTAGACAAGAATAATGCAACATACATTATTATTTTCATTTGCACCAACATTCAAAATGTATTTTTTAGGCTTTCCATAAACTTTAACTCCATGCCTTTTATGAATCTATTAGAATCTTTTCCAATATGTTTCACATTATAAAATATTAAGTCCTGTCCACATTCCCTTTGTCTTCATAAGCATGAGTCCTTATTTCAGTCACCAAGAACGTTCTCGATGATAAAATTTACATTGTTTAGATTCTTGAGGCACAAAGTTCTGAAATCTTATTCCTTATTTATCTCCCCCTTCTTCATACTTTCAATCCTTTTAGTTTCCTCACAATACGAAATGTTACAAAAACTACTCAAGGAGCTTCTAAAACTCAAAACTCACTGCCTTCAAGTTGGTCCCAACTCATAGCAACCTCTCCTTTGGGTTTCTGAGGCGGTATCTCTACAAAAGTAGTTTGCCAAATCTTCCTTCCAAGGAGTGGCTGATGGGTTTGAACCGCCAGCCTTCTGGATAGCAGTCAAATGCCTTGGGCACTACACCCTCAGAGCTCCCAGGAATCAATAAAAATAAGCAGCCTAATTGTGTTAAATGTGCAAAGAATATAAGAGTAAATTAACAGAGACTCTCCAAACCAGAAACAAAATTCACTGCCATAGCGAGTCCCATTAGGTTTCCAAGGCTGTAAATCTTTACAGAAGCAAATAGCCTCATCTTTCTCCCATGGAGTGTCTGAGTGGGTCTGAACCACTGACCTTTTGGTTAACAACCTAATGCCTTAATCATTACATCATCAGAGCTCCTTAACAAAGACCCCACCAAAAACCAAAAATCAAACTCATTGTCATTGAGTCACTTCTGACTCATACTGACCCTTCTTTGGGTTTCTGAGGTGGTACTTCTACAAAGTAGATTGCCCAGTCTTCCTTCTGTGGAGTGGCTGGTGGGTTTGAACCTCCAGCCTTCTGGTCAGCAGTCATATGCCTTAGGCACTACGCCACCAGAAGTAGATAGGGAAAAGTATATATGCTCACCAGTAATCAGAGAAATGAAAAGTTAAACCACAATAACACATAGTTTCATCAGTGTGGCCTAGTCTGGTGGTGTGGTGCCTAAGGCATTTGACTGCTAACCAGGAGGCTGGAGGTTCAAATCTACCAGCCCCTCCTCGGAAGCAAGATTGGGCAATCTACTCCTGTAGAGATAGCACCTTGGAAACCCAAGGAGGGGTTGCTATGAGTCACAATCGACTTGATGACAATGAGTTTTAACACATAGTTTCATCAGTGTGGCCAAGTCTTTAACTTTGAAAATTCCAGGTTTGAGTGAGGATATAGAAAAAGGGGAACTTTAATATACGCTAATTGGAAGTATGAATTGGGATGACCAATTTGGAGGGCAACTTGCCCATATGTAGCAAATATCTAGTAAGGAGTCCATAGTTGGTGCAAAAGGTTAACTAGCTTGACTGGTAACCAAAAGGTTAGAGGTTTAAGTCCACCCAGAGGCATCACTGAAGAAAGCCTGGCAATCTACTTGCAAAAAATCAGCCACTGAACACCCTGTGGGGCAGAGTTCTACTCTGACACATATGACATCACTAGGAATCAGCATTAACTGCAAGGCAAATGGTTATTGTAAATATCTCATAAAGATTTGCATAACCCAGGACCCAGCAGCTCACTCCACTCAAATAGATACACTGAGAGCCTTGGGCAAGAAGGTTGCAGTACTGTTTGCAATGACAACAAAAAAGAAATAAATCATCCATCAACTAAGGAATCAATAGGTACCTGGTATTATATAAAAGAGAAAATGAATAAACTGGAATAAACCACTATGGAGAAATATCATTCACATAATACTGACTTTTTTTTAAAGCAACTTATAAGAGAAATATGACCAATTATATAAAATTGTAAAACACATAAAATCACATATTTAAAGAATATCTATATATTTAATAAGAGTGTAAAGACCTGGATGAGAGTGATAAACTCCAAACTCAGGAATTTATCTTGAAGGGAAATGAGATGGAGAGACTACAAAGGGGAATTTATTTTTCCTTGTTATTTTTTTAAGCTGGCATTTTTACATACACATTTGATTCTTTATTCCCTTTGTACATCTAAAATACATCATTTGCTTAATTTTTAAAAAGGCGACACTGAGCTCTTGATTTGAGTGGGTTTTTTAAATCATTACCGCCAATGGCATATAATGTTCTTTGCATTTCATCCTGACCTTCAACAAATTTTCTGATGTTCTGTGCAAGATTCCGGACACTGCTGGGAAGATTCCAAGGATCCTGCTTGATGTGAAGCCTTAACCTTTTTGGACAACTCAGCTTAGGTTCCATTTCCTGCTGAAATTCTAAACAAACACAAAAAATCTCTCCTAAATTCCAACCATTTACAAAACAGTTAACGGGCTTATACCCCCAAGAAAACAGTTAACGGGCTTATACCCCCAAGAAAACAGTTAACTGGCTTATACCCCCAAGAAAACGAAACCCACTGTCATCAAGTCAATTTCAACTCATAGCAACAAGCCCATAGACTTCAGAATCTTCTTTCTTTATCACTGTATTCCTACAATATTATCATGGTGATAGTTTAACTACATCAGAGGAAAGAATTTGCTGAGTTTGAAACTATCAACTTTGAATGTTATTTCCTTACAATGTATGAACAAAGAAGCAACTTTTAGATGAAAACTCTATTTTCAATATCCTAGACTAGATGTCTGAAAGTGACAGCTTTCTATCTGTGCTGTTTAGCTATTCTGTTTCCCACCCCTCCATTCCCCACTGCTTCTCCTCCCCCACTTGGACAAAACCAAGTAGACTTGGCACTAGGTTTCAGCAAAAGCAATTAAACACTGAAATCTCTTCATTTTATTCAGTTATTTTCAGCCTGACCCTTTAAGCACCCTTAGGGATTAAACCTTTGAATCTTCCTAGGAAATTTAAGTCCTATTGACTCTCTCTATATATATATACATACATATATATAGAAAAATTAGTAAAATAGATGTAGTATTCAGCAAATTATGAAACATGAGAAAATAGAATCATTTATCTCATATTAGGATTGTGCTTGATGACTATAATCTTTGTCATTTTTTGTTTTGCCACTGCTTCTAACAGTTGCTTTTTAACCTTACCTTGTAATCCTCGACCAGGTGTGAGGTACTTGGTTTGCTCAAAAGCCCTCACTACAGCTTGCCCTTTTAGGAGATTGGTAATCGAATCCACCTATAAATAGCATAGATGTCTGAGAGTTACTTACTTCTCATAAACCTAATATATATTTCTAGCAGTAAATCTCATATTTTTTTTTTCCTAACATAACGATTATTTTTGAAATCCTATGATGCTTACAAAATGTGCTTTTAAATAAAATGTTGGGATAAACTATCTGATGAAATTTGCATTGACATTTCTTACTATCCTATCATATATTAATATAAAAGAAATATTCCACTCATAAAAGAAATTACAAGTTCTGGAGTTACCTCCCCCCCCCAAAAAAAAAAAAAATTACAAAACTGAAGATATTGGTATTTTTTCAAAGTGGTAAAATCTTCTATACTACAAATTCTGGTTATGGATATAGATATAGATATATACACACATATATAGGTGATGTAGTGCCTAAGATACTTGACTGCTAACCAGAAGGCTGGCAGTTCAAAAACACTAGTCACTCCTCAGAAGGAAGATTGGGCAATCTACTTCTATAGTGATACTGCCTCGGAAACCCAAGGGGGGGGTCGCTATGAGTCAGAGATGACTCGATGGCACATACCAACAACAACATAGTGTGTACGTGTGAAATACCTATTTTTTAAAAAAATTAGGAATAAAGTTACTATGACATATCTTAAAAGATTCTGAAAATCCTCAAAGAAACAAATAATAAAAGAATAACTCTTATGTGTTCCAAGGACTATAAAATATCTGATGTTCTCAAGAACCCTTTGAGTTATTTGAAGAAGGAATCCATTAAAAACTGCAGATAATGAAGTGATGGAGGAAAAGGAACAGAGTGAAGGCCTTCATTATATAGTAACTCCCACATGTCTTTACTACACCCAAAAAGGGATTGCTGATACTTTAGTCTGCAGAAAAAAGATCCACCCCTCTCCTCCCATACCTGGCTGAAAAGATGTTCAAGGCAACTGTGTATCTTGTCCTGTTTATCATGAGAAATGCGAACACTCAGGGGAAGTTCATCACCTAGAT